GCTTCGGCCGCCACCCGGGCAAAATTCAAAATTTCCTACCAACTGAAAAAGTTTAATGTGTCCCGCGCGCTCATATGACCTTATTATGCAGTTGCGAGCGCCGTAAAACAAATTTTAAAATCCCAAAGATATTCTTTTGTAGTACGCTTTACTGGTAAGCTGGTGAGGTGCCACCTGATTGTTGGCCTCTGAATGCTTTGGAGGACAGGTGTTGTTCCTATCATTTCTCTGACCCTGTTGTTTCGGATCTGGTTTTGTTGACAGCTCTTATTTTTTGCACAGTATCACCAATAATTGTAATTACGATTTAAATACCATAATTTGAGACAAAACGGTGTTTTGATTCAAGGTTTGTTCTAAGGTCCTTGGTTTGATCTGAATTTGCGGAAACATGGTAAGAGTAAGACATCGACGAAATACTATTCACCCCGGCTAGGGTGCGGATGATTTTGGTTCGAATCCACAATGTGTGTTCCCCGAATTTCAATTATGGGGAGTTTTCAAGCTCCCCACCTACATAGGTCGATAAAGTCAGAGATGGACGTTAGATTTGGATGTAAAGCCTAATAAATATCCTGGCAATATTGAAAGGGGTTTGAAACAGGGGCGGCTCGTGGAGCTAAAAAGTGGGCGTGCACAATTAAGCTATCGCATGTTGAAGATAGTCAATGGCATAATAAATGGGATGGTGTATAACTTTAGGATGTTTTGATTTATGAGGAAGGACCGCATGCTTTTATTTTCATTCTTTTTACTTGTGGTTTTGACTTGTAGAACTAAATCTGTTTGTTAGCTTAACGTCAATTCCATTCCTCCTGCATTAGAACTGAACACTTAAGTAATACCTTTTACCACTCCACCACAAAACCGTCCAAAAGCACAACTCATAAGACGGTGACTTAAGTATGTCACGTGCACCTCCCTTAGGTTCACGGGTCACAGAGTCACTTAAAATAGCGGCAAGACAATGAACCAATCACAATTCACTTAAGCACTCCGCTGGATTGCTCCGAGGCTCACATAATTTTGGCATAGAATAGTCCACAGTCTATCGAGTTTATTTTTAGATTGCCTATTGTGGGCTATGTTTCGGCACTATTCGGCAGGAGCACATTTGAGATGTGCCGTCTTATTAATATCAATGTACCGCCAAACTCTCTACGAGTGTCGTCATCGTTTGGGTTTTCCCAAAGAGCGATTTATAGGTCAGGTTTCCACTTTTGAATATCCTGTTATGTTTAGATACAGCGCATGAACTTTGGCATGGCATAGTAGATGTTTTACGGCGCTACAGACACAGAAATGACAGTTGCGGCGCCAGTGAGGACCTTGTTTTGATATAATATTTGACTAGTATTTGCTTCTGGCGTCTTTTATTTTATTATTGTGGGTGCTTTACGTAACAGAACATTTAAACATTATGGGCGGCACTGCACGACCGTGCCCTATGGACGAACCGCGCCTGGTTTGAAGCCCTTAAATGCAACAATCGTTTCCAATAGTCACTCTATTGTTTAACTCGAGATGGGCCTTTGGTAGAAAATCAGTTCAAAACCAAGAAAGGGAAAGAAGGGGTCTTGGAAAATGGCCAAAGACAGTTTCTTCAGATCATCAGTTTGTGTCGAAGGAAGTGCATTCCCAGGTAGGGAGGGGAGGAAACGGAAGGAAGGGGGAGGGGGAGGGAGACAGAGGGAGAGTAGGGAGGAGATTGGGGGAGGGACACCA